TTAATAACAATTTACCTAATTAAATGGCTCAAGAATACCCTTAATTAGGATTTAAAATGGCTGAGTTTGAAACAAGGACTTACCAAAATTGAGTTTCAAAATCCAAATCAAACGGCCATGTATGCAAAGGACTCGGGACGGGCGAGAGATCGAGTACGGACGATCCGGTTAGGAAATTTCGGTTATGCTCGACGCTCGATTAAGATCCGAATAGACACGATGCTCGACGCACCGTTTAAATGAATAAATAATTCGGCTCGGTTCGATGCAAAAAGAATAAATTAAAATAATATTTATTAATTATACAAAATAGCCCCATTCAATATTTATAAAAAAAAAAATTCACAAAAGGCACATAAAGTTCATTTAGGCAATTAGACAACTATTTATAAATTAATAATTAATTATAACAATTAATATTAAAGACAACAATAATAATAATAATAATAATAATAATAATAATAATAATAATAATAATAATAATAATAATAATAATAATAATAATAACAATAATAATAATATCAATAATAATAATAATAATAATAATAATAATAATAATAATAATAATAATAATAATAATAATCCAATTTATTCATGAACGAACGGGGCGTTACATGAAGTACAGTCCAACATATTCATATCAGATAAGATGTCCAACATATATTTTCTTTGGCACAAGGACACCCCTCTAAAGGTATAAGAAAACTCAATCCCCAAGAAAAACTTAGCAACTCCCAAATCTTTAATAGTGAATTGATCATTAAGGAACTGTTTTAAATTTTGGATCAGAGGTAGAGTGGGACTAGTGACTAATACATCATCCACATATACTAGAAGAGCTAAGAAATCCACTCCCTTAGTAGTTGTGAACAAACAGTGATCATAAGAGGATTGAATAAGCCCATAGTGAGAGAGTTTGGTGCATAATTCATTGTTCTACTCTCTTGATGCTTGCTTGAGTCAATAAAGACTCTTAACCAATTTGCATACCTTTCCTTTAGCTGCTTTCTCATAACTCAAAGATGGTTGCATAAACACCTCTTCAGAAAGTGTTCCATGAAGGAAAGCATTATTCACATCTAGTTGGTGAATAGTCCATCCTTTGTACACTGCCACTGCAGTGAAGAATCTCACTGTTACTAACCTTGACATAGGTGAAAATATATCAAAGTAATGGATGCCTTCTACTTGATTGTAACCCTTTGCCACAAGTCTGGCTTTAAACCTCTCTATGGACCCATCTGCCTTCCTTTTAATTTTATAAACCCACTTACTGCCAATGGCTTTCTTTCAGGTGGAAGATCGGTGATTTCCCAAGTATGATTAGCTTCTAAGGCATCCAACTCTTTTTGCATTGCTTCTACCCATGAAGGGTGGAGCACTGCTTGCTTATAATGTATAGGTTCCTTCTCAGTTAATAGATTTGCAGAAAACTCCTGTTGAGACACCCCATGATCTACTCCATAATTGCAAGAGATGAATTGAAGTGGAAGCATGCTTTTATCAAGTTTTGATGCTGATGTATTTCCACAAACATAATCATGATGCCAGCTTGGTGTTCCTCTTGTTCTAACACTTCTCCTTAAACCTGCAGTATTATCATCATGTATCTCAACTGGTTCAAGAGGCACCTCAACTTCTGAAATATTATATTCAATTGTATGTGGTAGCACATTGTCAATCATGTTTGGTTCTATGTAAGGGAATATGTCTTCAAAGAAAACCATATCACTAGATATAAAGCATTCCCCATTATCCACATTGTACACTTGAGACCCTTTCTTTCCTGGAGCAAAACCAAGGAAAACACATTTGCTGCCTCTAGGGTCATATTTAGAAGTGAATGGATGATCCACAGCTGCATATGTTAAACATCCAAATGGTTTTAGAGTCTCATAGTCTGGTGGCTTCCCATAAATCCTTTCAAAAGGTGTAGTCCACCCTAAAATAGCACTAGGCAACCTGTTGATAGTAAATGCTGCTGCCAAAACATAATATGGCCAAAACGTCATTGGTAACTGTGCTTGATACATCAATGCCCTCCCAATTTCAAGTAATTGCCTATGTTTTCTTTCAACCACACCATTTTGTTGTGGTGTGTAAACACAGCTGGTCTCATGAACAATTTCCATTCCTTTAAAAAAAAATTTGTATGTCATTTCCCAAGAACTCCTTCCTATTATCTGTTCTCACTTTCTTAACTTTAGTGTCAAACTGAGTTTCCACCATCAATATAAAATCACTCTTGAGCTTGGATGCTTTTGACTTCTGTGCCATTAAGAAAACCCAAACAGCTCTACTATAGTCATCTACTATAGTCCCCAGATGTCTGCATGGATCATCTAAAAAATTCTAGTAGCATGGATGTTGCTGTTTTGGAAAGGAAGTTTATGCTGCTTTGCTTTGTGACATACCTCACATGATTGAATAAGTCTTTCATCCTGATTTGTGCATTTTCCTTTAAGGAACTACATATGTTTCATGGTACTGATGCTGGCATGACCAAGGCGTTGATGCCATTGTTGTAGAGAGAACTTCTGGATCATAGTATTTGCATGCACCAAATTCCCTTTATTGAGGATGTACAAGTTCCCCTTTGAGGAGCCCTGTCCTACCAGTTGTCCACTATCACAGTGGTTCAAGTAGCAAGATGTAGCTGAAAAGGAACACTTCACTTTCTCATCAAGGCAAAGTTGACTGACTGATAGCAGGTTGTACTTAATATCAGGAACAAAGAGCACATTATGCAGAGTTAAGGCCTTGTTCACTTTCACATCCCTGCAGTGCTCACTTTCTTACTTGATCCATCTGGTAAACAAATGGCCACAAAATCTTTCAAGGTGTATGTGTTTCTCATCATTCTCAAATCTCCACACATATGCTTACTGGCCCCAGTGTCTATGATCCAATCATCACCACTCACCTTTTCAGCAGTGGTTAAAGAAAAATGCATTTCATTATCACTTCCTTTATCGGTAAAACTCACCATTTGTGCAAAATCCACTTTATTTTGCACATGTTCTTTTCCCTTTAAGAACTGTGTTAGCTCCTGCAACTGCTTGACAACAATAGAGAGATCATTCTCCTTTGAACTCTTTTTATCAGTCACAGACTCTTTCCAATCCTCACTATCATCATACAAATCCACATTGGGAGCATAATCCACACCATGTGCCTTCAAATCCTTATACCATTCAGGAACTCCATGGATTTTAAAACATGTGGCCACTGTATGTCCTCTCATCCCACATTTATCACATACTAATTTGGCCCTTTCTTCTTTACTGAGCATGATAAATCCTCTTCCTCCTCTGCCATTCACCAAGCTACCCCCTCTACCATTAAAACCTCTTCCCTGATTATTCATCCCTCTACCATATCCTTCAGATCTAGTACTCATAGCTAGATTCTCAACTTTATCAAAATAATTACTGACAATCCTCTGCCTTTCTACACTAAGCACCATTGAATAAGCTTTATTAACACTTGGTAAGGGATCAATTAGCATGATTTGGTTCTTCAAATTGTCATACCCCTCATTTAGCCCTATGAGGAACTGAATAAGCTTGTTTTCAGCTTCATTTTTAGCCACTATCCTTCCTTTTTCACAGTTGCAGGATTGAATTGGTACCACACAGACATATTCATCCCACAATCGTTTCAATTTATTAAAATACTCCATCAAAGTACAATTTCCTTGGAATAAGGTATTGATTTCCCTCTGCAACTTATACTTCATCAGACCATTACTCTCTCCAAATCTCATACACATTTCATCCCAAAGATCCTTAGATGTTTCAGCATAAACAAACGATTCAACAACTTCTTTAGTCATAGAACTCAAAATCCACGATAAGATCATCCAATCAACCTTTTTCCAGTCATCATAATCATCGCTATCAATATCAGGTTCAGAAATCTCACCATTAATGAAGTCGAGCTTCCTTTTAGCTCCTAGAGCTATCATCATCAATCGGCGCCATGAAAGGAAGTTATTGCCAGTTAGCAGATGTGAAACGAGCACCAAACCAGGATTATCGAAACCATGAAGAGCGGATCCTGATTCCCTTGACGCACACCAGATCCGCCTGCATTTCGATTAGTTTGTCGCATCGTCGCCATTGATCCTTACTCAATAAGCTCGCCCAGAACCGATTGCTCTCGATACCATGTAAGATCGTATAAAATCGCAAACTCAATTTTTGGGATTTTCTTAGCTCATTTCATAAAACTGAAAATCAGAAAACTGTACGTACATGACCGAGCTTATAAAGCTCTCATGCAAGACGAAAACCTAAACGACGTCGTGTACACTTACCAAAACGACGTCGTGCTCTATTAAATCGTAAAATAAAACGGAAAGCAGAAACGGCGTCGTGCACAGCTAAAACGACGCCGTTCGAATTCAAGAAAAAAAAAAAAAAAAAAAAAAAAA